AACCGTCCCAATCCAGCACGCTGAAGGCGATGGTCAGTTCCTAGCCCCGTGCCCAGTGCAGAGAGCCCGGGGCGCTGACACAGGGGGCAGCCGCAGGGCAGAACCGAGGGGCACTGGCCGAGCTGTCTACATCTTCGGCCGAGGCACAAGAGCAGCCGTGGGACTCGCTCCCTGCACCTTTCTGTGCCAGTTCGGCCCAGACCCGTGTGGGGCAGAGCCCCTGATCTCCCGCCAGGGAGGCGGATTGAGGAGGGGTCCCTGGAAGGCCGGGGTGACTCCCGACTCTACTCAGACCCCCATCCCACCGCCGGCACAGAGCGCTCGGCCCATCGCCCGCGGCCCAGCAGGGCTGGGAGCACCGGAGACCACGGGAACCTCAGTCTGTGCCAGTTCGGCCCAGACCCGTGTGGGGCAGAGCCCCTGATCTCCCGCCAGGGAGGCGGATTGAGGAGGGGTCCCTGGAAGGCCGGGGTGACTCCCGACTCTACTCAGACCCCCATCCCACCGCCGGCACAGAGCGCTCGGCCCATCGCCCGCGGCCCAGCAGGGCTGGGAGCACCGGAGACCACGGGAACCTCAGACGGCTCTGTAATGACTCCGGCTGGCTCAGCCCTCTCCGGCCCCCACTGGCTTATCGAAGAGGGCACCTGCGCCCGCCCTGGCACAGCGGCACTGGCAGGGACGGGCACTGTGCACCGGCCTGGCCTCTTGTGCAACAGCCCAGGGGCGGGGGAGAATTGGGCAATGGGTGTTTCTGAGCCGGCAGGGAGAAGATTCCAAACCTCACAGTGTCCACCCACTTCCTGCTTCCCACCCAAGCCCTGCCAGCAGCCTGCCCGGCTGCCTGCAGGGGCTGAGACGGCGGGAGAAAGAGGGAGGCTGGAGGGACCAGCCCTTGTTCCCCATCGTACCTCTAGCCATCCTCAGTGCCCCTCCGCAGCCTCGCGGGTCTCCCTTCTGGGGGGAGGCAGCCAGACGGCCCGGGGGACGAGGCTCCAGCACTTCCGAGGTCCCTCCGGCAAGGCCCGGGAGCGCAGAGCCCCCAGGACACGACTCTCAGGCGGGGCTCCCGGCAGACCCCCCCTCTGGGAAGCGGGCGCG